CGTTATAGATAATATTTATATACAATTATTTTATACTTGCGAGGTTCATTTCCTAATGTCAAGGATAACATTGAGAGGTATATTGGTTTCATGAAGTATTGTGTTAAGCTTAGCAACTGAAATAACTTGTTTATTTCTTTCAGACTTTTCACTCAATGCTATACAAATAGCTATCTGCGCATAGCCATCCATAGTTTTGAGACGACAGCCTAGAAGAAAGGCAGCTAATTAACACCACCCACTCCTAACTCTTGAGCTACGTTTGTCTGACCGAGTAGTGGGATTTGACCGTTACTCTTATAGCGCACCCACGGCTCCAAAGTGATCAAAGAGTTTTTATGGCAACGGGCAGTGAAACACGAATACTACCAAATCGAAAGGAACTATCGCGTTTTTCTAGCTAAAATGAAACAAATTAAAGGAATAAATCGGTGTTCATTAGTTAATAAATAAAGACCAAGACTCGAACCAGACACGTTTCATCGCTTGGGGTTATTGTGACCTTCTTCGTTAGTCCATTTTCTTTATAATACATAGCACATATAAACACAACAATGATAACCTCCACATGTAACCGACAGAGTAAACTGGTTGAAAGAATTGTATACTATCGAAACAACTGGAGGGTCCTTACGGGAATCACGCTAAGAGTGCTTTTTATCCACGGCACTTAGAAATAGTTAAGGTCCTAATGATATAAGTACTTATACGTATACGATTCACCTACAGAACCATTCAGCGGTTCTTTCTTTCCTTTAAGGAACAATACCACGATACACAACAGCCAATAAAGCTACAATTCGTGCGCGAATTCCGTCTAATTATGTGCGTTTAAAAAATAAAATCATTAGCTTCATAACCTTAGACTACATGAAGTACCAACAGAGAGAAAGAGATAGATAGATTTTATGTTTTCCACTACATCTTTTAAACGTGCCTAAGACACTAAAACAAAAATGTCAATTTAAAATATAAGAACTTGAAATAAAATTTTCACAAATATCGCAC